GAGGGCCTCTCTTGTTGAGTTGTCATGAGTGTTAAATGTGATAATGTGTGTAACGAACCTGGAAGAGTCTGTGGCACATGATAAATGCACAATTGCTATTGTAAATAACTGTTAGCAATTACTATCCTATTATTATGTCTACATTGTTAATTATTAGTATTATTACTATTATCTGACATAGAGGGTCATTTTACTGAGACATTTTTCTCAGCCATAGTTTTTTAAAAATTGAGTTTTTCACAAACAAAAGGATCCATTGATATAAAACTATATCAACCCTTCAAACCATATGATCTTTTATTTAAAGTAAAATGCAGAACTTTAAACTGAGCCCTCATGAAATCAGAGTGAGTGTACAGCTTCATGACTCTGAGCCTTGCAGCCTTTAAGTGCAAATTGTTAACTATATGATTAAATAAATCTTAACTGTTTTCTTGTAGAATTTTGCTTAGTGTTCTAGTTCTTCAAAGTAATTTTGAATCCTGATTTAGACATGTCCCATAATAAGCAATCCTTCCATGTGTTAAAATCTGAAAAAATAAGCTTAGCATCTATATCATCTTCTACTTCATTATTAACCATGTTGACTAAAATTAGACCAAGGGGGACTCTAGAGACCTCCTTGCATGGTCGCAATTACTTTGGGCTGTGACTGTTCAATCGGTCACCATCACACATGCCTCATTTCAAGGAGAGCTAATGTTTATTTGGTATTTAACATATAATACACTGTATTTTGTGACAATTAATTTAATCTTCACAAAAGTCCTGCAACATTCATATCATTCCTCCTATTTTGGAATCGAGGAGGCTGAGGCTCAGAACAGCTACCCTGTGTAAGGTCACCTGGCCAGAGTGCAGCAGAGTCAGGAACAGAATCAAGACGGATCTTTGTCTCAGCCCAAGTTCTCTCCTCCACTATTCACAGATATATCAGGGAAAACTTAACAGAAGGCTTTTGGAAATAACGAGTCCTTAACCTACTTGTCATCAAGGCCAGGAGGTTTTATTCAATTTAAGTAAGTCTATGTCGGCTCTAATGGCCTTTCAAAGACAGATGAAGAACTCAGAGAAGCAATGATAGCCTAAAAACGAGACTATAATTTGACACAGACAACTATAGAACCTGTGGAGCCTGGTGCCTGATTGCTTTGTGTTTTTGTAATGTTGAACATGTTGTTTAACTCTCTCTGCCTCCGTTTACACATCTGTACAATGGGAATAATGACAGAATCTTCCCTGTAAGAATTAAGTGATTTAATACCTGTAATGTGCTTAGAATAAGGCCATTATGCACCCAATCTTAGCTGTTCTTCTTGCTGCCAACTACACCATTATTACTGGTAAGTCAGTGTCCTGTATGGACACCTGTCATCAGTGTGGTACAGAACTCCCTGCTTTTGGGTCACAGAGCAACCTCCAAGCCAAGATAGGCATCAGCATGGAAGGAGCTTTCACAAAAAATATTTTCAAATATTTAGGTTTATTGAAAAGGATTAAAGAATACATACATACACAAATGTGCATTGTCTTTCTCTGTCTTTCAATCTAGTACCTGTTTCTTCCAAGAGCAGAGGCTTTGGAGTGATTGGAAGTGTTCTTTGCTCCCTGATTTACACAGGATGTCTGAGGAGAAGCATGTGCCTTTCCAGCTGAGTGAGCACAAACAAGAGTTAACTGAAAACTTTCTCCCTGGGCAGAACTAAGCAAAGCCATCACCTGACATTTCTGAGCAGCAGGGCCATAGTCTTCTAGTGAAGTCCTGCTGCAGCTGACACAGTCACGTCCTCAAATTGTGGGACTGGGGTTGAAAGCAAGAGGAGTGATGCGCATTCTTCTGAAGCAATTTATGTATACAAGTGAAAAAAAGCATTATCGTGGAGTTCGAGGTTAACATCTGCCTTGGTTTAAATCACACTTTGGTCAAGCATTTACTAGCCATAGACCACTTATGTAATCTCCCCAAGACTTATCTATGAAATGGGGCTAAGAGTTCTGGAAGGGAAGGTGTACAAGGCACAAAAAGAAATGGTTTGGCTTTGGTGGGTACCCATCTACCTGTCCAAACCCTGGGTCCTAAGTGGTTATGAATATGGACTATCTTATTCACCCCAGAGAAGCTCTGGGATGTAATTTAGGGCAAAAGTTTCTAGGATTGGCACTTGATAAAATTTTCACTGGGCAAAGAAAGGCAGAGTGACAAAAATAAGTACCAGTTAGTGTGTGTTCCTTGCGGCTGGAACTTCTCCATAGTGTGCTCTCTCTCCCACTCTCTGTCTTTCTCATACACACACACACACACACACACTCTCACCTACCTGCATAATTTCTATGCAATTTTACATCTTAATTTACATCTCACTTCCTCAGGGATGCCTTCCCTGACCCCTAGACTAAATAGGGTACCTCACTTGTGTGTTCTCATAATACTGATTGGCTTTCCTTCCTTCATTTCTCAGTTTGTAATTATACATTTGTTTAATGATTTGTCTTAGAGTAACCAATTGCCCCAATTTGCCTGGGACTGAGGAATTTTCCAGAACACAAGACTGTCAGTGCTAAAACTGGGAGAGTCCTGGCCAAACCTGCGTAATTGGTCACCCTTGTTTGTGTCCCTCTCAAGACAGGATGCTCTCTGAGGGCAGGAACTGTGCTTTTTTGTTTAACATTTATCTCCATGTCTGGCACAGACCTGGATCATGATAGCAACTCAGGAAACATCTGTTGAGCCAGTAAGAAAATGAATGAGTATGTCAAGGTAAACCAAACTGTCTTTTCTTGTAGAAATCTTTTTTCCCTGAGATTATTCTTCCTACTTTAGGTGTTAAACATCCCTTTTTAATAAATCTCCCTTATTTGAAAAAATTTAAAGTTGACAATGTTATATCCTTTTTTTTTTTTTTTTTGCCTTCCCTCACCCCCATCCCATTTGGGGGTTGGAAATCTTACAGATTTGAGGAATCACTAGTTTAGTGAAAAGGGAACCAGAATAGTTAAGGTTAAGACAATTAAAGGTCTGTCCCCATGCCGAAATGCTAGAATAGAAAGTTCATGAGGGCAGAAATGATGGATATTCAGTTCATGTCACCATCCCCAGGACCTAGAACAGTACCAAGCATAATAGTAAGGGCTAAGAAAAGATTTGTCAAATAAATGAATATATTCTCTGCTCAGCCTCGAGACCTGGTGGAGTAGACCCTATGTCCCTTTTCTTTCTTAACCCTCTAGCTAAACCTTTCCACAACCATAAATTTGACTTCAGCATCTATTTCTGCTGGATGGGTGAGAAGCACGTACCATTGCAGAAGAGTGAACACGTGGTCTATCCCTACCTGTTCTGGGTCATCTCTTTATACACTTTGCTTACACTTAAAGGGACTGCCACAGAATGCTACGTAAAAAGCCACTGCAGTGTCTCCATTACTGAAAACACCTCTGTCACCCATGTTGCTTTGTTCAAGTTCTTCCCTCTAACTAGAATGCCTGTTCCACTTCATCTAGCTAAATCTTACTAGTCTTTTAAACTAAGCTTCTGTCCCTTTCTTTAAGAAGCCACCTCTGTACCATTCCACTTGTCAAAAGTAAAATCATAACAAGTTAGGGAAAATTTAGAAGTTTATTATCATACAGAAAGTATAGATTGCAATCAGTGAGACTTCAAACCAAGTGGTAAGAAGCTCACCTTATAGCAGTTACAGCACAGTTTATAAAGCATAAAGGAGAAAGTACTTTTTGACCTATTTTGTGATTGGCTGTTATATATTAGCATTTTTTAAGGACAAACAGAGCTATTTGAACTGATTTGTCTACAGCTGATTGGCTAAATTTCACTGAATCATGCTGACAAGGACATAAAACTTGTTATGTTTTGTACTCTGTTTATGGTTAGAGCTAGCGATTCAGGGAAATCAGGATGACTTAAGTTTTGGCTACTTGGTTATGGGCAGTTGGCCTAGTGGTATATATCTAAACGGCGGCCTCAATTTTTACATGTCTTTAGCACACTTCTCCTTCCCATGCCCATCCACATTCTCTATTTTGTCTTACCGTCTCATGGACCGCACTGTATTCTGTTGGTCTACTTATTTGTATAGCTCCCCACTAGATGGGAGCTTCTGGAAAGTAAGAACTCCGATTCATCTCTGTGTCCCCAGCACCCACTAGAGGGGGAGGGCATGCTATTAGGTAGATAGTAAATGTTTGGAAACTAGCTAGGAAAGAAATATATCTTTTATTTTTACCACAAAAATGCTAGGTAACAGATAAACATAAAACCTTAGTAACATAAAACTGTAGACATTTATTTTTGCTCACAAGCCTATTGGTTGGCTAGGTGATTCTGATGATCTTGGCTAGTCAGCTGTTGGTCACCTAAGAGGATTTCCTGGTCTTTCCTGGGCTCTCTCATATATCTGGGACATCACCTGCAACAATCGAGCTGACCCAGCTCTGTTACATATGTCCTTTCGTGAATAGCCTTGCCTGAGCATGTTCTAGTGGCCAAGGTGAAGGAACAGGAGAAGGAATAGAAGCACACAGTCCTCTTGAGGCCTAGGCTTGGAAAACTGGCCAGTGTCACTTCTGCCTCATTCTCTTGCAAAACAAGTGACAAGACTGGCCTAGATTCAAGGATTATGGAGATAGACCCACCTCTAAACGTGGGAGCTGCAAAATCTCATTGCAAAGGATGTGGATACAGAAAGGGTAGAGAATGGGAACCATTTTTTGCAATCTCTGCCCTAGAGAGGAAGCCAGCAAGGAAATGTCTTATCAGTTTCTTTCCAAAATGATCACTTTTGCTACCTTGACATTAAATCTGTCATAAAGGTTTCCCAAAAAGGAACTGTGGCCTTTCTTGGGAGAGAGTGATTTCTCCACTATAAAAGATATTCTATAAGAAGCTGAATTTCACAGTCATGGAAACGTCAGGTAGGAGAAGATAAGGCCCCCTCTAACCCTGAGGGTCACTGTTTTCACATACTTTGCCTCTTTCCTTCCAGATCAGCAAAGACCCAATTTTTGTGCCAGGTGTCTGGGGACCTTATTTCTCAGCCATGGTGCCTGGGTTCTGGCTGAATGAAGGTGGTCAGAGCGTTACTGGAAAATTGGTAAGTTGACACTTTGTCAGTAAAGTCATGAATTTTTTTATGCCATTGAATAGCCCATTCTGTCATATTACCCACATACCCAGTATCTGGAAGATTTGCAGACTCCTGGGTCAGAGTTAACTCTCTCAGTACACAGCACAGTTCATGTGTAGCATGTGTTTGTTACACAAATAAATGTCCCTTCAGGCAATGCTGATTGTCCTTTCATCTCACCTGATCTTTCCCACACCAATCCATTTTTCTCATGGCAGTGAGAGTGATACTCTACTTTATGAAAATGACAATGTTACTCCCCAGCCCAGACCCTTCAGTGGTTCCCCGATAGCCCTTGGTACATTGTTCAGATAATTTTCTAAGCACACTGTACCTTTCGTGATCGGTCCCCTCCAGTCCCACACATCACCTGATATGCTAGGTTGCCCTATTCACAGCTTCTCCATGGCTCCTATCATTCCACTCCTCTGTGTGTGCTTCTTTCCCTGCATGGGGAGTTCTTTACCACCTGGACAATTTTACTTGTCCCTTTACAACTTCAGCTCTTACCACACTCTCTTATTCTTATTGATTGCTAACTTATCTTTTCCAGAGCACTATGAGCTCCTTAAAGACAAGAGCCATATCATACTTCTCTTTATATCCAGCTCAGTGCCTAGTTCATACAAGGTACTTAATGACATTATTGGTTTATTAACAATTATTAACAGCATTAATAACTTAATGAAATTTTTGAATTATTGGGATTGTGTAATAGGGTAGACAGAATATCCATAAAAGTGAGATGAGTACAGTAACAGAGGTACAAGGTACAGAGTTGGCACAAAGCTACATTAGGAAACTCTTTGCAGAGGGGAAGACATTTGTGCTGAGCCTTAAAAGACAAATAGGGACAAAGCAGGCAAAGAAGGGTAGAAGGGTAGGGATAGTCTTCTAGGCAGGAGAACTTGCGTGGGAAGCAAGACACAGAAGTGAAAAATAATAAGGTTTATTTGAGGGAAATTGCAAAAGGTCCAGAATTTCAGCTGTGGCATAAATTATTCTTAGAATAATGGGATACAATACAAGTTAGAGAGTAGGACAGGAACCAGATCTTAAGAAGTCCCCACAGAACATGCTAAGGAATTGAACTTCGTCTAGTAAACTAAGGGGAATCAGTGAAAGTTCAGAAGAGTACGTAGACATGTTCAAGTCTCAGTTGTAAAGAGCTCTCTCTGGCTAGCAGCCATGAGAAGGAAGGCCTGAGGACACAGGGCCAGAGTCAGGGAGACCAGTTTTAGTCCACAGACAAAAAGCCACAAGGGCTTAATTGAGGATAGTGGCAATGTTGACTAAGAACTGAGGTCAAGAGATTGGGCTATGGGGGAACCACTGAAGGGTTTGGGCTGGGGAATAACATTGTCATTTTCTCACAAAGTAGAGTATTGCTTCTGAGAGATTGGCTGTGGAAGGCAAGGGAAACTGAGACCTAGGCTCAATTATCCAACCTCACATTTACTATTATATTGAAAATATGTTTGTGGCTAAATCCTTATCAACTCTTCTAAATGTTCAGCCAAATTAAGAGTGATGTGACCCACAGATAGATACGCATGTAAATAACTGCAAGTTTCCATTTCTTAGTGTATTCTCTTTTATACATAACTGCCTCAGATTCTCTCTCAGGTAGAAAGAAGCGTAGGTAAGTGATGGATTCAAAGAGCATATTCTGTGCCCTTACTCCTATGCCAGGCTACAGAAATAAATTAAGTCAATTAGACCTCATCACTCCATGGTTTTAAAGAGCTCATACTCTGACAAGGAAGCCTAGTGAGTATGAAATAAATAATATCTAACTGGGCTTTATAACCAGTGCTGTAAAATTTGAAAAGGAAAACATCATCATGTGTCTACAGTACAGTGGGACTGGAGCCCCCTTTGCATCCTTCTATTTAAACTACTTTGGTGTATTTATACAACATTCAAGTTAAATATTCTTTCCCTTTTTTTTGGCACCTTGAATGAAAATCCATTAATGAAACACAGCCCTTTTCAACATCACAGCATAGCATAATCACCCTTAGCAGACCCCGAACTCATACATGACATAATCCAGAAGCTGTTTAAAATAAAGATCCAGTAAACCAGTTCTTTGTGTAGGATGCATTGTCCGTGAACCTACCCATCAATAGGCTTTCAGAGAATTAGTGTGTGAATCAGACATCTGTATCAGTTAGAAATGCTTTCCCCAGGATTTGGTTCAAAGTTTGCTCTAGTGCCATGTTTGTAAGCCATCTTAACCCAAATGTTATGACATACCTTCGCGGATAAGAATTGGTTACACCTATTTCATGAGCCTGAATTTAAATTAAAAATATGGGCTCTATTTCGCCATTGCTGAAAAACCTTCATGACATTCCAGTGTGGTTTTTGACAGGTGTCATGCGGATTGCTAGCCTTTATCTGTTAGTTTTGTGCCATCCACCAGTCAAGCTGCATTTGGAGTTTGACTCTGGGCAGTTCTACGTATACGTTGGACATAGGCATGGGACATGAGTGACCTCTGGGTTACAGAGAATGAAATCTTTAGGAAATCCAAAAGCTAGGATAATGGAGCAAAATCTGAATCAAGATCAAAGCACATATCCAATAAACCATCAGTCCAAAGAGGCCAAGCAAAGAGAAAGAAACCAGCTATAAAATAAAAAGGATAACTATAATGATGACAATAATAATAATTACAGCTTATTGAATATTTTTTCTGTGAGAGGAATTTATATACATAATCTTATTAAACCTTGAATGATATTCATAATAATCACAATGCCTAATGTTATTTTGAAGGCTTATTTCCCAATCTCAATTCCAAGAACTTTTTACATATTATCTCATTTAATCCTCTCAAAATTCTTATGAGAATAGGCACAGTTGTTATTTGTATTTTAGTGAAACTCAAGGCAGCAAGTACAGCCTGGGGAGATTCCTCACCCACTATCAATGGCCTTTTTATATGGTTCCTCTGCCACGCACCTTTCCTTACCATTTACTAATTCTGGTTTATTCTCTTGTAAATTCTGATCTCTGGTTTTTAAAACACATTGTCATCATATAGGACATGAGAAGAGAAAGTTGCATCCTTTTTGTTCTTTGTTTCACATGCACATCTTCTCTACTAAGCCACATCTGAAAGCGTCTGCTCTGGCAGTGTCTTGTCCATCCCATAATGCAGTCATAAATACACCACCTAAAGCAGAAGAGAAAGGAAAGGATAAAGGAAATGAAAAGGGAAGTAAAGGAGGGGAAAGAAAAGAGAAGAGGAGAGGAGAGGAGAGGAGAGAAGAGAAAAAAGAAAAGAAATGAAAAGAAAAGAGAAAAGAGAAGAAAAGAAAAAGAAATAAAGCAAATATATAAACCGTAGATTTGCAAAAAAGGTATTTTGTCTCATTTTTACAATTAAATACAGATCTTCCATTACAAAGCAAACCCTTCACTTCACGTATGCAAACAGATTGGTACTTTAAAGCAGTCTTCATCTGGTTATCTTCAGGATGAAGAAATAAATAGGAGAGGACCCTTTCTGGCTCTGGAGCCCTTGCAGTTTCATTTGACTGAGAATAGGACTCATTTGTCACTCATCTCAAGCTTGTGCCATGATATTTACTTCTTAGAAAGGCATATGCTACCTTCCCATGGATTATTGATTTTTTTGTTTCATCACTAAGCACCCATCAAAGATTGGCTCATGCTTGCCAATACTCTCTTCAGAATAGTTGTGCAAAAAGACATTGCTTTTTGTCCAGACTTTTCCCATAGAACACTGACCCCGTGCAGTCGCTGCATCCAGATGCTGAAGCTTGTTTCCAACTGGACCTTGGCCATGCCTCCCTCCAAGTGCTCTTCTCTGTCTTACGGGAAGTTATTTTTATCGTGGGAGGCATTGGTAAGGGAGGCTAAGACAAGTTCCTAAGCTGCCCCTATGTTTAGCTTTAGATTTCTGGGACACTTGGGCTTAGATGAGGGGTTGCCTTGGAATTGTTTGAACCCGGAGTTTGAACTTACAAACTTGAGTCACAGGATCACAAGGTGGCAAGTTGCTATGTGCTCTTGGGATTTTAGGATTTGTGCATTGTGAGTGCCTGTCTGCCTCCTCCCTCATCGCCAAATCTGCTCCACCTGGGGCTAGCCTCAGGAAGTCACCTCTGGAAGTCATTCTGCCATGAGTGGGTATATGAAGAATAGCTTGCAGTGTGCACAATGCAGTACAGGTTACGGAGATAGTGATTTCATGCCTTCATCCAATCATTCATTCCATCATGTTACAGAGATTTCCTGAACGATTACAGTGGGCCAGGCAACAATGTGGTCACTCTAGTAGTTCATCATCAAATAAGAAAGTTGAAGACAGCACTGATAATTATAATTTACGATAGCACATAAAATAAATAGTGCGATCCCTACAGCTTATTAGAAAGGCAGGAGCTAACACTTACTGAGTACCTATGACATGCCAAGTACTTTTAGGCCCCTTAAGAGTCAGTATTTCATCTGATCTTCACAGCACGTGTATGCAGTCAGTGTTACTGTGTTAGTTTGTTGAAGAAATAGGCTGAGATTGATGAGGTAACTTAATCAAGGTCTTACAGTTGTAAGTGGGAGAGCCATAATGCAGGCCCAAGTTGGCCACCAGAGGTCCCAGATCTTTCCAGAACTGAATCTGACTCTTGTAGAGCTGAATGTTGAGTTTTTCTTACAGTTCTCTTGTAGACTCCCTTGAGAAGCAACTGTTGTCAGTTATTGAGACACTTTTTTTAAGCATCTTGAAGCAAATACAGTTGGCAGGCTTTGTAAGGCCATGAGAGAAGAATGTTTGTGTATCAGCACTTACAGGATCTGTGCGTTTCACATTAGCTAATTAGAATGACTGCATGGATACAAAGACCAAGTCTGCACAAACAAATGCCTCCCTGCTCCCTCCTCCTGTGCCGGCTTTCACTGTGGTTTTTGAATACCCACCTGGATCCCTGCAC